TTATCGTCACTTTTGATCAATTTAAAGCATCCTTGCTAAATAAAAGTATTAATTTCTATAATTTCCCCAAAAAATAAAAATAAAATAAAAATAAAAAAATAAATAAAAATACTGACTCCAAGCTTTTGAATGGTATATGTATAATGTTACAAAAGCTTTTTATTTCATATGAATGCTGATCTTTGGATCTTTCTATTGGATCTTACTTACTGTTCAAAAAATTGTGACTGGTAGTGTATGTATGTAGCCTATGCATCACATCTTGTTTTGGATAATAAAAAATTATAATTATAAAAAAATGTATAATGAATAAAACATCAGGTCCGACAATATCATGTCTTTTTTTATTTAAATCTAGCTTTATTCGCATTGGCCCATGGAAACCTCTACACACTTGACTTGACTTGGCTAAAAAAATCGCGGGGGACCGAATTTACGTTTTATTAAAAAGTGTTTACGCATACACTCATGGCGCGCAGCCGCGCACACACATTAGGACAGGTTAGATGCCTGCCTCTGCTGCGAGTCCCTATCAAGCACTTTACAGATTCAACTACTCTCTTCTTCTCCTCCTGCCTGGCTCTTTGGCCCGTATCACTCACCGCAGAGCAAGCCTGTTCTTGATACATCTGCTGTGAAAACATGGGAAAAGCCGACGAGGAAGAAGTTGGAGTGTAGCGATCTTTATATAGGCGGAGCAAAATACTTCATCGCTCCGTCTATAGCGCATTGTGATTGGATGTTTACGCTGTCTATACAGGAGACAAACCAATGGGCCACTGGCTGCTCGCTGACCCTGCGTGATGGTTTTCGACAAAAAAACATTCTGTCGGCCCCTTAAGTGCGTCGGCCCACCGGGAAAATGCCCGGTGTGCCCGATTACCAATCCAGCCCTGGAAGAGACTTTCAACCAGCATAACAAAAAATGTTTTTGAATGCATTTTCACCTAACCTGCCTTTAATGAAATAAAAATAAATCAAACTCTACGTCAGAATGAGTAACAAGTTGCAGATTTAGCCTAGCGTCGAATGGTTGAGCTTGACTAGTCAACCCTGCAATTGAAGTCTTTCCGTCATCCTGTAGAAAGAGTTTAATGATGACACTTTCTCTGAGTCACTTCTCCATTTGTGTAAAAAGGGGAAAAACACAGTAACAACTTTGCACTGAACATGGGATGGGAACTCATTCAGAGCTAAAGAATCAACTCCAAAAGAGCTGAAAAGAGTTGTTCACTTAGATTTGAGTTTTAAACATGATCTTAAACCATAAAGCAGCTTTCAAACGTTAAACTAAGTGATTTTAAAAGACAGATGCAACCAGTTTCTACTTCATCTTTTCTTTTAGTCTGCATCTGAAGTGATAAATCAACAGGAAGGTGATAGTCACCGTATGAGCTTGAGTTTTAGGGAGTAGCGTCACTAATTTAATGATTGAGAATAATAAACCACAAGCTGACAGATTCTTGTGTTGTTTTACAGTGTAAAGTTGATCTCTGAGCTTCACGGAGTTTCTTACCTGTATTCTTCTTTTCACCCTTTTTCTCATGAGAGATATCAGCGTATATGAGCTCTGTATCTCCAGCTGACGGGAAAACACTGACATTAGCAACAGATCAACTACAATCTCATATTTCAGTCATTAAAGTATTGCCTTCAAAACTATCCTCAGATCATGCTGGCTAAACGTTTTTCACATATCAGACCAACCCGATCTCATGAAAGTGCGTATAAATAGTACGCCAAATAAAAATGAAAACTCCTGGTATTGATAATGCAAAAATGGACATTGGCGTGTATATGCTACGCGATGGGTAGATTTAGGGTTTTGGGGTAGATGCGTATCATATGCATGCAAAAACGGCGTATTATATGCACACCAAAGTCCATTTTTGCGTATCAATACCATGAGTTTTTGTTTTTATTTGGCGTACTATTTATATGCATTTTCATGAGAACGGGCTCATCAGACTGTTTGCATGTAACGCACTGAGAAAAAAGCAAGGAAAGAATACAGTAAGTGAGGTCATATATTCACCAATATTTGAATATCTTTGAAACTTTTGTAAATATATGAATAAATTCGGAGTAATTTGCACATAGAAAGTACCTTCCCAAATAATTCACAAACGCTTAATTTAACCTCAGATTACATAGTTAAACATGTTCAGTATGTTAATGAATTCCAGTCATTCATAAGCAAGGCGCGCATGTCTGCACATTTATAATTGGCTAACTAACTGCTTAACTAATTAATTTTGTAATTATATACTATTATGGTAATGTAGTGTCAAAAGAGCACTAAACATTTGGATGTTTTATGCATGTTTAACATGTTGGAAGCTGGTGTACATTTTTTCAAACCAACCAGCATTTTGAAAATACAAATACTTTCATTAATCAGAACAGCTTTTAGAACAATTTACATTAGAAAATATTAAATATGCTCATGTTTCATGAATGAGGTCGAATGACTTTAACTTTGCTCTTCATACTGTGATCAAACTTAAGTACTTAAATTAATGGTCAAAAATCATTATCAAATAATCTGGTTAAAACTAAATACCTTTCTTTCTAAAAATAGGCTTGAGGAATAATATTGTTTCAAAGCCGTTCTACCATTTTGCACCAATTTTAACCCCAGAAAGTTTGTCAAATCTCCACCAAAACTGGCTCAGATCATCTTCATCACATCTCTAATGTTTCTACTTTGGCTTTTGGTGTAATTGTGTTTGAAGCTGTCTGTAAGAGAGTGCAATGACCAAACACATCTCTGCAGCATATATAACACATAAGCTACAAATAGTACTACATTTGAACCTTCATCAGTTAATATATGAACTAGATATTTAAACACACTGACCTGGTGTCGACTTGAGCTGCTTCTTCTTGTAAATATAAAATAAGGTGAAGAACAGTAGAATCAGGACCAGAGCAACGCAGCCCAAAGCAATCAGAGAGAATTGTAAAACTATTGAAGAAAAAACACGAGGTCACTTAAAACAACCCCAAAACTGCTTTGAAAAGTTCATTCATAACAACTGCAACAGCAACAAGAACAGAACAACTTCATGCAATTAACAGCACAGTGAATTAGTTCAACAATCATATTAGCTACAGAAGCGCCTGTGAATCCCTCACTGCCATCATTATTACTGGGTTTATTGGTAATTTGCAGTATTTGTTGTTGTTCAAATGCTCTTGTTCTTCAAGAGTGTGGGTTTGATTCGTATCTGCTGATGAGAAACTCGTACCATTTTCTGATGTCTGTGTCGACGTAGAGGTCAAACGAGAGGTCACAGCTGCAGTAGTTGTTCCTGAAATAAAACATCAGCACAGAATCACCTGCTTTCTCTCTTAATATGAAGTACTACATTTTTGAAGGATTAAATGGGCAAGTAAGAGAATCGATTTGTCTGAATCTCATGAAAACAAGGACCCATTCCAGGTCACATTTCAGTTCAGAACTGCATGTAGTAATAGTGTAAATATTTTGCATGTCTCATTTAATGTTTTTATGGGCATTAAACTGTTTTGAATTGTAATAGTTACCCCTAAAATATAATTTCTGACTTATGAGGAAAATGCAAAAAAATTAAAATAAATAATACATGAATGCAAATAAATAAATACAATTATATTATAAAAAGTAAAGTATACATACTGTAATTATAGTATTTTTTCCATCTTTATATTAAGTTATAATTAAAATCTAATTAAAATCATCATATTATCATCAAAAATGTACCTGAGACAAATGTATCATATGCAACTGCAGTAATACAAATCAAATAAATTATCTTTGTAAATAATTGCAACTACAAAAATAAACTAAATTCTTGAACATTATAGTAATGAAAATTTAGGATATGGGAGTGTTTTTAAGCGTCATGCAAATAATATCACAATGCAAATAAAATGAATGGTTGTAAAATAGTCCTCATGCAAAATATAAATTCTTTTGATTTTTTGGGTGACATTTTTGTTTGTTGTTTAAAATTTTTTTATTCATCTTTCAGATGATGCATACATCTCAATTTTAAAAAATTGACCCTTATGACTGGTTTTGTGCTCCAGGGTCACATATGCTCTCATTCATCTTAATGTTAATTTAATTCAAATTAAACTGTCATGCTTTCACTGTGTACACTGTCAAACAGCAATGTGTGTTTAATTAACAACATACACAACGCTCCAGTGCACAATATTTCTACACTGCTCGGTGGGGATTCTACTAGATCTACCAAGGCTCCAATGACTACACTTAACATCTCCACGTGTCGAAATCCTGCGGTAAGAAAGCAGACTGTATGTAGAATTTTTCAGGCTGTAAATCACGCGAAGTTTTTGTGGGACCCGAATGTGAAACCAAGAGGACTTTTTGGTGGACGTTTGAATATCAGGAGTATTGTTTGAAAGAACGAACAGTTGTCTCATTTATTATCTAATTCAAATTTGGACATCCTTTGCATATCTGAAACGTGGTTGCATCAATTATCTTCTCCAAGTGTATTTATGATACCTGGATATCAATGTTTTAGACGTGATAGGTCCTCGAGAAGGCGAGGGGGAGTGTTATTAACAACATACACAACGCTCCAGTGCACAATATTTCTACACTGCTCGGTGGGGATTCTACTAGATCTACCAAGGCTCCAATGACTACACTTAACATCTCCACGTGTCGAAATCCTGCGGTAAGAAAGCAGACTGTATGTAGAATTTTTCAGGCTGTAAATCACGCGAAGTTTTTGTGGGACCCGAATGTGAAACCAAGAGGACTTTTTGGTGGTCGTTTGAATATCAGGAGTATTGTTTCAAAGAACGAACAGTTGTCTCATTTATTATCTAATTCAAATTTGGACATCCTTTGCATATCTGAAACGTGGTTGCATCAATTATCTTCTCCAAGTGTATTTATGATGCCTGGATATCAATGTTTTAGACGTGATAGGTCCTCGAGAAGGCGAGGGGGAGTGTTAATATGTGAGAAGTGGTATTAAGTGTGAACGTCTTGTGTTTAACTCTGTTAACGACTTGGAGTTTGCAGGGCTAAACATTATTTTGTCTCCTCAAATGTAATTTATTATCATATGCGTGTATAGACCCCCCTCAGTAAATGATACATTTTATAAACAACTTACAGACATTTTAATGGAATGTAATCATAACAAAGAAATAATTCTTATGGGTGATTTTAACTTGAACTGGGAGGACAAAGTAAAGAGGAAAAAACTCAAAACTATGAACAGTTGTCTCATTTACTATCTAATTCAAATTTGGACTTCCTTTGCATATCTGAAACGTGGTTGCATCAATTATCTTCTCCAAGTGTATTTATGATGCCTGGATATCAATGTTTTAGATGTGATAGGTCCTCGGGAAGGGGAGGGGGGGAGTGTTAATATGTGAGAAGTGGTATTAAGTGTGAACGTCTTGTGTTTAACTCTGTTAACGACTTGGAGTTTGCAGGGCTAAACATTATTTTGTCTCCTCAAATGTAATTTATTATCATATGCGTGTATAGACCCCCCTCAGGAAATTATATATTTTATAAACAACTTACAGACATTTTAAAGGAATGTAATCATAACAAAGAAATCATTCTTATGGGTGATTTTAACTTGAACTGGGAGGACAAAGTAAAGAGGAAAAAACTCAAAACTATTGCTGATAAATATCTTTTAAGTCAGATAATTAAAGGACACACAAGAATTGCTAAATCCTCTAAGACACAGTTAGACCTAATATTCACAAACAAACCTGAAAGGATAATAAAGAGTTATAATTTGATCACTGGGTTATCTGATCACAATTTAACCTTGGTTGCTCAAAAACAGGTTTAAAAACAATGCGACAAATTCTAATAATGTTTTCTGTTGTATACCTAAAGGAAAGCTAGTAGAGTTCAATGAGCTAGTTTAAAGTGGGATGATATATGATCTTCTCAGGATGTAGAGTATGGCTGTAACAGACTCATCAATAGGACTAACTCTGTAAGGGACAAATTCACTACAAAGTTCAGAAAAAAATTAGACATAAAAATAATCTACCTTGGTTCAATGACAACTTATGGAAGCTGATGAAGAACAGGGACTCAGCATTAAAGATGGCTATTAAGACAGGAAGGGATATCGACAGGCTTTGTTATAAAGGACTGCGGAATAAAGCTACCCGAGAGCTGAGAGTAGCAAATTATCAAATTATTATCTTCACCAATTGAACGAGGTAAAAGGAAACAGCACATTTGGAAAAACGTTAATAGTCTTCTACAGAAGATCAATTCTCCAGATCTCAAGATCAACGTTCAAGGAAATTTTATTCTAGATGATTAGACAGACAGAAAAAAATTGAGACAGATAGAGACAGGCAGATAGAATAATGGATAGATTGATAGATAAAAAGATCCACAGAGACAGATACAATGATAGATAGCTAGATAGACAGACAAAACAATAGACAGAGACAAACTAAGACAGGTAGATAAAATGATAGATTGATAGACAGAGAATAATAGACAGATAGAATGATGCATAGAGACAGACAGAAAGAAAGACGGATAAAACAGACAAGACTGATAGAATGATGGACAGACAGAAAGAAAGAGTATGGCTGTAACACACTCATAAATAGGACTAACTCTGTAAGGGACAAATTTACTACAAAAGTTCAGGAAAAAAAATAGGCATAAAAATAATCTACCTTGGTTCAATGACAACTTATGGAAGCTGATGAAGAACAGGGACTCAGCATTAAAGATGGCTATTAAGACAGGAAGGGATATCGACAGGCTTTGTTATAAAGGACTGCGGAATAAAGTTACTCGAGAGCTGAGAGTAGCAAATTATCAAATTATTATCTTCACCAATTGAACGAGGTAAAAGGAAACAGCAAATTGATTTGGAAAAACGTTAATAGTCTTCTACAGAAGGAGATCAATTCTCCAGATCTCAAGATCAACGTTCAAGGAAATTTTATTCTAGATGATTATTGCTACTGTTTTTAATAATTCTGTTAACAAACTGGGGGAAAAATTTATAAAAATGGAAAGAATTATTGTACCGTCTGATGTTGATAGCCAACACCACTGTAGGGTTTTGGAGAAATAAAATTCTTTGAGCTTTGATAATTTTAGACTTTTCTCAAATTTGTGTATGGTATATAACATTTTAAATGGCTTAGCCCCTTCTATACTTCGTGATTTTGTGCATTTTCACTCTACAGTCTGTAAGATCTACTAGATCAGGGGTGGTGAACGTCGGTCCTGGAGAGCCGCAGCCCTGCAGAGTTTTGCTTCAACCCTAATCAAACACACCTGAACAAGCTAATCAAGGTCTGAATGGTTTCTAGGAAGCTACAGGCAGGTGAGTTTTAATTAGGGTTGGAGCTGAACTCTGCAGGGCTGTGGCTCTCCAGGACCGGAGTTCGCCACCGCTGTACTAGATCATCATCTACTAGTGATTGTGTTGTTCCTTTTTGTCATTCTGCCTTTGGATCATCATCGTTCTCAGCGAAAGCTATTCTTCACTGGAACACTACCAGAAGACATAAAGATGTGCACATCTATTGACATGTTTAAATTAAAACTAATTATTTTTTTTTTAACAACTCAAATGTGTAAACACTGATATAGTTCTGGCTTAACTGAAAGTTATTTTTACTGTTCTTTTTTGGCTCTGATGGGATGTGTATAAGTATTACTGTATTGTATGTGTTTGTTATTTTGTTCTTATGTCTATCTGTGATTATGATTACCTGCCAAAGGACCGCGGATGAAAACTAGCCATTGGCTAAATTCGGTACAATGCATGAAATGGAAACATTTATGTTAAAATTATACATGGTCCCTTTTCAAATAAACTTTAATAAATAAAATAGAAATAACATGCAGTATTTTGATAATGCAGAAATTGTGTTTGACCTGCATTTTCTGTGCAACCCCGT